AGACATGGTAATTGAAGAATGTGGCTGCAACTAATGGTTATGGACTATTGCTGGCTGAAAAATGGGAGTCTTCTGCAAGTAACTTCCCATTATTGCACATTTTATGGTAGAGGACCAAAGAATTTTTGCTGGAGAAAGGCAAGAAGCATATTCCTCAACACACAGAGATCAAGTTTGTTTTTCTAAAGTCTTGGCCATATCATTCTTAGAAGACCAGGGGGTGAAGTAGGCACGTGGACTGGATAGCTTGCCTCAGGCATTTCATAAGTAAGATAAATGCAACACTCATCCTGCAGGAGAGCTCCACCAACAATTTCTATTTTTACAAGATAAACTAGATTCAAAGCCTGTTCAAATTAAATAAGGATAGTCAGTGAAAATATGTAAGACTTTATTAGTACAGAGAGAGTCCATTTTAGTGGAACCTTTCTAGGATCTTCTTATTACCTGGAACTTCTGCCAAAGAATGGAACTGTGACTCCTCAACCCACCCCAAAACATAGCATTTGTTCTACATCCCACCATGTTGGTCCATAAATAGGGGGGTTGTTTTAGTGAAAGATTCCTAAGCTTTAATGATTGTGATGTCTTCCTACTGATATTGTTCTGAACATCACTGAACATCTGATATTGTTCTGAACATCTGAATAAGTGTGGAAGAAGGTTATTGCTTTATGTTCTGCTTGGAGGCTTTTAAAAACATCTAATGGGATAACTTTGTATGCCTCATGAACAACCAATTTGATCTAGCAGAAGTCATATAACTTTAAGTTTAGGTAAGTGATACTTTTAGAAAGTTGGCATTAATTAAGGAATGGGAGGGAAATGTCCCCAAATTTTGCCTATTTTACCTCAACTGAGGAGAGAGAATATGTGCTTTTGAAATTTCCCTTAAAGGAAATTTCCATAACTTTTGGAAATATAATAAGGTGTTTTTGCACTTGATTAGTTACAAGGTTGCTTTGGGTGAATTGGGGGAATGTGGTTTTTTTAAAAAAAATTATAATCTCTTCAGAAATCTTTAGCTTGATGTGCTTTAATTAAACTGCAAGGAAAGCCCTCAGCATTCATATGGGACTTTTTAAATTTGGGAAGCAAGTGTGGCCAGAGAGATTATAAATTAAGGAAGCTGCATGTCACAAGGAACAAGGATACTAACAATGCGATCACTATTTCAAGCGACTGAAAAGGTATTTAGAGAAATGAGAGGCAGATATTGGTACAGCATTCATATGAGTTCATATATTTATTTTAACTTTTTACACTTCAAGGGACACATTAAAAACTTTACTTGCTTTGAGAGGGAGTTTCCTGAAGAAACAGTTAAGAAACAGTTAAGGATGTCATAGATCAATCATATGTACTTGGGCAGGATTGTTGAATGAGCTATATTTAAATAATTTTGAATAACCAAGGGTATAGTTGGTGCTGTTAACAGAATTTGTATTAATGAAACATCATTGATTGTATTGTTGACATCATTGCTCTAAAATAAATGCAAGGTTGAAAAATAAAAGCTGGCTGTTTTGTTTTGATAAGAACGTAATAGTCATCATCACAAATGGGGATATAGACATCACAATGTATTTTAAGAAACTGGCAAAGCAATGGACCTCAACATCTATATATATTAAAACATGTNGAATGAGTTTGATCCAGTGGTTGAGGTACTTTGAATGCAAACAATCAGAAAAATTAATTCCCCAAGTTTGATCTAGGAGAGGAGATCAATTATATTGAGCAATTATAATAATGTCCCAATTACAAATTTGAACATAGCTGAACACTCTTCCAACAACACATTTTGCTTCATTAATTTTATTTCTCATTGAAATGTCTTCCTACTACATGATATTTTTAGAATAGTTTTGGAATTTATGGAAACATTTCAAGCATGACTTTATTGTGTAATTGCTATCCTTCTGCTGTCTTCCAGATTCATTCCAATTTGGGGACCACTGGGACTTCTCCTTTGACATGACTTCCATCTCACCCAGCTATGATATCAAGCTGGCACAGCTCCGGGTTCATCTACTGGCTTTCTCTCAATCTAGAAATATCACTGTGCATATTTATCACAGCCACAACTACACATGTTATGGGAATCAGACTTGCACAGATAAGATGTTTCTTGGTTCCTTTATGACTAGCCTCTCCCTCAACCATTCACCCTGGAAAGTCTTCAACATCACTAGCTTATTACATCTTTGGCTCCACCAAGGGATGCCATCAGGCATTGAGATTCCAGAAGTCCCACAGCAAGACTGGGAAGAGGGGAATATATTTGAGGACAATAGTAACCCAACAGCAGGTGCGTTCCAGGATAAGGATACCCATAATAATTCTAGAGAGGATGAGAAGCATTTTGTCCACAATGGGCCTGATAGAGCACTCTTGGTGATCTTCTCCAAAGATAAGGAACCCGCGGAGCCTTCACAGGGTCCAAGTCTCATTAAAACTGTAGAGATGTCCAAGCATGTTCTGTTTGATAATGCAACCAAAGAAGCTGGAGGACGTCGCCATCGTAGGAACAGAAAACAAAAACAAAGAATTAAATCGAATGCTCTCCAATCCTCCAAGTGGGCAGAAGAAGGCAAATCTCCATGCAAAAGAGTCGATATGATGGTAGATTTTGATAAGACTGGCTTTGGAAGCTGGATAGTGCATCCCAAGAAATATAATGCCTATCGATGTGAAGGAGAATGTCCATCACCTGTCGATGAGACCTTCAAACCAACAAATCATGCTTATGTTCAGGTATGAGGGAGTGTGGGTTGGACTTGGTAGAGTTTATCTGTTAAATTTGTTAAATGTGTTGGTGATTCCTCATGTGAATCAGAGTCCAGCCAGGATCTGGAGCATTCTTGGTTCTCTCTGAGCTTGATTGTTTTCTTACAGATCTTTCATTACCCAAACTAAGTATCATCACAGACTAGCACTGATGATGTTACCTAGTTTGGGTAATGAAATGTCTGTCAAACCTGAGCTATAAATATTCTCCTTTATTAAAATCAGGATCTGCCAGTTCATAATAGTAAATCCTCTTGCTGTCTCTAGATCCATTCTTATGGGTGATGCTCATGGTTTCCTATTCTGTTTCATAGAGCTTGCTGAAGGTATACCAGCCTAACCGAGTGCCCTGCCCATCCTGTGCACCAATCAGGTTAAGTCCATTGTCCATGCTGTATCACGAGAAGGGAAGAATAAGAGTCCGTCATCATGAAGACATGGTAATTGAAGAATGTGGCTGCAACTAATGGTTA